TGGGTGATTTCGTTATGATAGCCATTTTTTCTGGGGTGAGATGATATCTCAATGTTGTTTTAATTTGCATTTCGCGGATGGCTAGTGATGTGGAGCATTTTTTCATATATTTATTCGCTTCTTTAATTTCTTCCTCTGAGAAGCATGTGTTCATCTCGGATGCCCATTTCTGGATTAAGTTTTATTAAGGAAGCACCATACTTCCAGATATTAAATTCTGTTCCACTTCACTGTTGCTGCATAGCAAATATCTTCAAGCTTAGTGGTATAGGTCACTATATTTTATTACAAGCATGGAATTTATGGATTAGGAGTTTGGACCTGGCACAAAAGTTATCTCTGCTCCCTGATATTTTGGACTTCAAGTAGGTGGAAAAACTTAAGTTAGAGAATCCACTTCCCTAGTGACTTTGAAAGGCTGCCTCCTGAATGGGAAGGCTGGGACTTGGACTTGCTGAGGGTTTTTTTTTTTTTTTTTTTGAGACAGGCTTGTTATGTAGCTTAGCCTGGTCTTGAACTCATTAGGTAGCCCAGGCTGGCTTCAAACTCACAGTGCTCCTTCTGCCTCAGCCTCTAGAGTGCTGGGATTACAGCTGTGCCCCACCAGGCCCTGCTGGATCTGATGGTTTTCCTGGTAGAACACCTGAATGTGGCTTCTCAAGTCTGGTGGCCTTAGAATAGCTGGGCTTATCCATGGGCTCAGGAAAAAGCCAGCATAGGGCTATAGAGCTAATGAGGAACAGGGTAAAGAGTAGCTTTTGACAGGGTTTTCCCAGAAAAGAAAAATTTCTCTCTGAAGAAGAGTTTGGTGTTGCAAGCTGGGAAGAAAGTATCTTAGCCATGTGTGGTGTGGGTGCATATGTGTGCGCACACATGAAATTCTTAAGAGGGCAAACGGGTTTCTGGGAGTAGCCAGACTTGAACGAATGTGAGTGACGTGTGTAAACTGGATCTGGTTGTTTGGCTCTGGGGTTTCTCCAGTGTTACAGGGACCTGAGCATGGGAATGAGGCTGTTCCAAGAGGAAAAGCAGGGAGGTTCAGAGGCTACCACTCAGGCTGTAGCCTCCAGAAGGCAGCAAATGAGATAGTGGGCTGGACAGTGGCCTAACAGCTTTAAGACGGAGTCCCAACCCCTCTATCTGGAAATGTGACCTTTTAAAGAAATGGGGTATTTTTCTAAAATAAAGATCTTGAGTGAGGTTGTCAGCCTGGATTTACCACAGGCTTTGAATCCAAAGGCAAATTTGCTCATAAGAGAAAGGAAGGGGAGATAGAGACAGGGAAGCAGGTGGAAAGGTGAGGTGAAGAGGAGGCAGAGAGGAGGGTGCACAGCCCTCAGGGACACAGGATTGCCAGCAGCCATAAGGACCGCTGGATGGCTTTCTCAGAGCCTCTGAAAGAAGTCCACCCTGCCAACACTGATTTCAGAATTCTAGCTGCCACGCTATGGTAAAATAAGTTATTTGTGTCATTGTAAGCCACCCAGTTTATGGCAATTTGTTAGGGCAGCCCCAGGAAACTAATCAAGATAGCCTGAGTTGGGCTGGTGACTCACTTCTATAATCGCAGAACTTGGGGAGCCAGAGGCAGGAGGGTTGCAAGTTAGAGCCCACCCAGCTGGCCACTTAGTGACTTCAAAAGACTAAGGGGAGGGGAGATGGAGGTGGAGAGATGGGGATAGGGACAAGGACAGGGACAGAAATGGAGACAGAGAGACAGAAAAGGTAGACCGGATAGGAGACTGGGGAGACTGAAGGCCTCCGACTTTGGAGGAACAGGAACAGGAACCCAGGGTTGCCATCCCCCAGTGTATGTCGCCCCATCTGTTCTTCTCTCCAGTTCCTGTCTTCCAGCCTTAATTTCAAGTCTTCCCTGTCCCTATTCCAACATCTCAGCACTGGCTCCTGTGGTTACCGTAAAGAGCACTTTCTTGGGACTCTCTTGGCTGCATGCCCTGATCTGTTGCACATTTTCTGTCCTGCACCATGCAGTTGGCATCTCCCTCTCCTGAACTCTTGATGCCAGTTGAAGTGCTTTCCATACACTGAGGCTTAATAAGGACACTCATTCTCCCTTCAGCATCTCTTCCCTCTTGCCCTCCCTCAGTTGAATTTATGCCAAAATCTTGTCAGAGCTGAAGAATAATGTCCCCTGGGGCTCCTGTATAATGGCATCCCCACCCAGCCAGTCCCCAGCCCCAAGTTCCCGCAGGAATCCGATGATGTAATCATTAACTCACAGGGACCATCTGTAGTCCTAGTCCCAGTCAGTAATCTGTGCATAAACTTGGGCAAGTCACTGCAACTTCTGCTCCTGGTTTCCTCCTAGGTAAAAGGGTTGGAATGAATTCCTCCCCTTCTCTCCCTCCCTTTCTTCTCCCATTCATTTGAAAGTTGCTTATTGAGACCATGTGCCATAAATCCTATGGTTTCTGGGTGAACGGCACAGCTCCTAGGAACTCAGGTTTTATAGTTTTGGGAGATTTGTCAGGTACCACGCGACCTTTCCTTTTAGGGAAGCAATTTTGGCTGGAAAAAGGAAGGATAAAGATGGCCCACAAAGAAGAGGCTTCCAGGGTAAGACAAGCCTCTGCCCCAAGGAGCTCTCAGTTATTCCCTCCAACTCTAGGATGCTATGGGCCCCTGGAAAGGATTTACTGAGCTAAGGACAGTCACCTTTCCCCAGGAAAGTAAAGGTGGGAACTTCATTTTCCTAGAGAAGCGGCGGTGTCTGGAAACGCTGGGCTGCTCTGAGAAAAAACCTCACGGAGGCTTTGGAGCCACCTACTGTCACGATCTGAAGGCAAGCAAAGGGAACATCTGGTGTGGTATTTGCTTTTATTATCTCTGGTCAGTCACAGGTGCCAGGAAGCTGAGGGAGAGAACAGGCATGGGACCCTGGAGGGCTTGGAGCTGAGGCCGGAAGGATGGCAGTGGTGTCTGGGGTCGACAGGCAAGTCCATAAGTCTCTCAAATATCTGGGAACAGCTGAGGGCTGGGGCGGCAAGGACTGGTTTTCAGCAGACAGGGAAAGTATCCAAGAGATGGCGCTGAGAGGACAGGTCTGGGAGACCTGGGGAAGGAGGGCTGACAGCCGGGTCCCTCCCCTCATCCGCAGCCACAGTGACTGTAGAACCAGCTCCTGCTTTTTCTCAAGAAGCCACAGAGAGGCAGCAAAGCGCTTGTGTTAAGGCCTAGGCGCCACCCCCACCCCCCAACAGGCCACCGGGGACTTGTCCTCAGGTGGGCCAGGGAAGGAAAGTGTGTGTCTGATCCTGTCTCTCCCAGAAATGGAAGAAGTGAGATTCTTAGCTATGCAGGAGGAGCCTAACACGTAGGCCCAGGAGTTGGTGTGGGGAGGCAGGGACCTGTGTATGCTTCCTGGGCCCCAGCCAGCCACTTCCTCCCAGTAGGAGACTTCTGGCTTCCCATTAGGAGACTTCTGGTAGATTCTGGTGCTTTCTAGCTTTATAAAATCCAGCCTACCTCTTCTTGGGTCCAGCCCCACCCAGGTCAAAAATGTGAGGGGTCAGCACCCTTCCTCCTCCATAGTGTGTAGCACCTGCCCAGCTTCAGTTTCCTGTAATCCTGCATTCCACATAATCCTGCATTCCTCTTCCCCACCCTTCCTCCTTCCAAGACCCATCAGGTGTTCCTGGAATGCCTCACTGCCTGGATCAGAGGTTAGACACAAGGCTTAAGCTCTAGCTTTGTAGTCAGCTTAGCAGTTCCCGGATGGATGGTGCTCAGGATCCAACACAGGCGGCTGCAGCATCTTTCTGTGGCCTCTGCCTCCACCCAGGAGCAAGCTTTGAGATTGCTACAATTTGTGCCTGGGTCACCTTATTGATGGCTGAGGGCTTGCCTCTCCCCCAATCTTTTGGATCCCAGCCTTGGAAAATTTACTCAACTCCATTTTTGTATGAATTATCCAATGAAGAGGAGGATTTAGACAAGTGGGAAGCTGTCCAGGGTGAGAACGACAGCCCAAAGGGGGATGGGGGTGGCAAACCCTTCTAGAACTTGAGGCCAGAGATTAGGAAAGGATGCTAAGGGGGCTTAGGGGGCCAAGAAGCCACTGGAAATAAACATCCTGGTGCTTCTCCCTGCTCCATACTGGCTACAGACTTCTATCTTAAAGATAGGAAAACTGACAGCAAGAAATATTTGGTATGCTAATACCATCGTCCCGATGGTACTGAGGGCAGGAATCAAAAACAGAAATCCTGCCTTGCAGCTGGTGTTCAGGGGGTGAAAATTTCATACTTCAGAATGTAGTAGGTGTAGGGGGGAACACAAGGCCAGGTGCTGCTCTGGGCTTATGGACTCCCATACTCTCTTTCCAGGCCCAGTCAGCTCACTGAGACTGGAAAAAATCTGCACGACCTTTTGTTCTGTGTGTGCGTGCGTGCGTCTCTGTTGCTGGGGATTGAATCGAGGGCCTTCTGCATGCCAGGCAAACACTTTACCACTAAGCCACACCCCCCAATCTCAAGACGGCTTTCTGAGTGAGGCCACCTTGGGTGTGACGCCCAGACCCACCACTGCTAACTGTCTGACCTTGGACTCATTACTAAGCCTTTCTGAGCATCTGGGCTTTGCCCTCTAAAACAGGGATGTGCAGAACACTGCCTTTGTAGCACTGCTGCAGGGATTAATTTAGACCAATGCACAGTGGGCACCTCCTCCATGCCCCAGTTGCCTTTACCCCACACATATCACCTGCTGGTCCTTGGCTGCTTCTCTCCTCAAATACCCAAGATGGAACAAAACTTCAAATACTTCTGTAATATTTCTTGAAAGCTAGAAGTAGGAAAGTGGGGGAGGGTGGGGTCAGGAGTGGATTGATAACATACCTAGTTAGTTACCTTTTTCTAGGGGCAGACAGAGCCCCTGGCATTCGAAGAAGAGGAGAGCCCTGAAATTCGAGGCTAAGGGAGGGTTCTGGTATCTGCCCAGAGCCTCCTTGCCTCCACTCAGTAACTTTCCACTGGCCCAAAGTTGGCCGCATATTGGCTGCGCACTGCCCCAGGTGTGGGCCCCTGACTCAGCCAGGAGCGGGCAGCTGACGCACACCCTGCCTGAGATCCAACTGCCTTGGGGCTGATAAGGAGCCTGGGCTCCTCGCATGGGGCCAGCTCGAGGCACTGACCCTGGCTGTTAGCAGCAGCTGGCCAGCCTCCAACCTGGAGAGACGTGGAGATGGAGGGGTTCCCTGGGGACTCTGGGCTGAGTGAGTGGCCAGGGAAGCAGGGGTGGGGGCTGACACTGCCCCTTCTAAGGCCCTAGGAGACCTGACTGGCCTAAGCCAGCAAGCGGCAGTAGGTGGAGGCGGTCTTAGGAAATGAGAAGTGGGAGTGGGAGCAGGCATAGCCTCAGGTAGGGCTGGGGCAGGGCAGGTTCCTCCACGTGCAGCTGGCCTAGAACCCAGAGCTGGTTCCTCCCCAGAACACCAGCTAGAGACCCCAGCACACCTCATTCTTCCTTAGACCTGGGAGAGCAGTCAGGTGGGGCTGATAAGGTGGCGATGTGGGTTCTAGTTCTTCAACCCTAAACGCCTCCTGAGTGGATGCAGGTCTGGGTAGTGGCCGCTACTGAGAGGCCTGGTCTCCCCAGTTGGCTCTCTTGCTTCCTTCCTGGGGTGGGAGTCCTGGCCAGACCCTCATTGAGGAGCAGGGCCCCCTGCCCCTACCTCCTCCCCACAGTGCCCTGTCCTGACTCAGGAGGGCAAATTTGCAAACATCAGAAGTACTGACTCCTGTCCCTTTCAGCAGGGCCCAAGTCCTCAAGTGCTGATCCCAGAACTGAGAGAGGGTGGGAGACTGCACGGTGCTCCTCCCCTTCCAAAGTGGCACTGTGTGGCCCGGAAGAGAGCAGGAAGGGGTAGGTTGGACACAGGACAGTGTGGTCCAGGGTCCCTCCAGCCCCAGGAGGAATCTTGGTGTGGCACAGGCCTCAGCTAGGCTCCCTGGGGTCTCCTTCCCAACTCTGAGGCCCTGCTGGGCTCCTCCCACTGCCCCTTGGGTCCTCCAACCCAGGGGTCCTTCAGCCTTGACTTCCTAGTTGAGAGACATAATTGAGAGGAGTGTGGCACAGGGGGTGGTGTGGCCTCAGTTCCTTGGCACCCAAAGGTGGCGAATGTACAGGCTGCAGAGGGTGCGTGAGGCTGGCTGAGGGACTGAGCGCTGGCCACAGGCTGGCAGCAGCGAGTTTATGTCTGGTCTGGAGGGAGCACAGGGAGCATTAGGGACCAAGAAGGGGCATTTTCTGGAGGAGAGGGCTGGGGTGATGAGGGCTCCTCATTCCCGGTTGGTGCCAAAAAGCTGCAGGAAGAAGGTGAAGATATAGATGATGTCCAGATAAATGTTAAGGGCTCCAAATATATACTCCTCAGGGCTCAGCGAGTGGCGTCGGTTACCCATCAGCAACTGGGTGTCGAATGCCAGGAACTGGGGAAGGGAGAGAGACAGAGAGAGAAGACAGAGGTGCAGACAGCGTGAGATGGTTATGGCAGCCCAGGCACCTCATGCAGGCCCACCCCAATTGTATTATCCTCACTGTGGCCCAGCTGCTTGGTAAGCCTCAGAATCTGGAACTTTTCCAACACCTTTCACCACTAATTCTGGCCAACAGCTATTTACTAAGCACCTACTATATACAAGGCACAGGCATACACAAAGAAAAAGAGATGATTCCTACTCAGGGGCTGGGGATATAGCTCAGCGGCATAAGCGCCTGCCTGGCAAATGCAAGGTCCCAAGTTTGATCCCAGGTACCACACACACACACACACACACACACACACACACAAATCTACTTAGAGTATGTCAGGAAGTATTACTATGAGTGTAACAAAAAGCAATATTAGGTCCGGGGGTGGGTGGGAAGGGGGTGTGTTGTGTGGCTGACCTATATGACAGGGAGTTAAGGGCTTCCGGGAGAGGGGACCTTCAATCTGAGCCTGTGTTTCAGCATTCCCTCAGGCCCTCTCTGGGTTAGAGGATAAACCAAGACAACAGCAAGCAGGGATCGAACAGCTGTTATACACTTTGCGGACATCAGCCTATCTGTCCTCCTGACTTCCCTTTCTGGCAAGACTCACCCCTAGAGGAAATCGAGACCTGAAGTGTGAAATGTTTGTCCCAGTTTACACAGTTGGGAAATGGCAAGGCACGATTTGAACCTGAGCTGGCTGGCTCCAGAGCCCCATGTTTAAACCATTCTGCTCTGCTGCTCCTGGGCGTCCTCCTAGGAAGTAGGTCTCTGCCCCATGGGGCCTTTGTGGTCCAAGGGTTTCTGAACCAATTCCCTGGTGGCAGCTCCTCTCTGCTCCCACTGTCCCTACCAAGTGTTCCCGCTAACAACACTGACACCCTGCTCCCCCACAGCTTTCTTCTGGGGTCCAAACTTAGGTGGCACACCCCCCCATAGCATATATA